CCCGCCGCTCTCCCTCGCGGAGCCGGGGCTGGGAACCGGGCGGAGGCCGGGGGTCTCGATGACCCTGAAGCGCCCCCGCGGCGCCGGCGGGAGAGCTGCAAACAGCTGCGTCGGACGCCGTTCGGAAAACACCCCTCGGGTTTCTTCCTTAGTTGCTCCCGAGCCGGGCTGTGCCGGGACCTGAAGCCTCCCGCAGCCACGGTGCAGCACCTGGGATTCCACGAACGTCGTGGTAAGACTGACCTGTCACCCTCCTTGAGAAAGGAAGCCCTGCCCGCCTGCTCCCCATCACGACAGGGCTGCCTTTTTTGTTTTACTTCCCCAAAGCTGAAGGAATAAAAATTAAACGTTAAAAGCATGTACATGATATTCTTTCTGCAGTATGTTGCAGATCAACAGTGTTAATCAGGTACATAATTTCTACCGGTGGAACAAATAAGAAAAACACTTTGAAGAACTGAACGCCATTATACCATCGTAGTTACAATTCATTCATTCGTGGAAAGATTTATTTCCTGGGTGCCGGACACTGTTGGAGGCTCTGGGGGTACACGTGTGCATGGAAACTGACAATTACCCCTCGCCTGATGGTGCTTGCATTCTAGTAAGAGACGGATAAGTAATGAGTATACAGTGCATTTCACTGTGGTAAGTGCTGTGGGGAAAATAGAGCAAGGGCAGGCTAGAAAGTGTGTGTTAGAGAAGGGGAGGAACGCATTTTAAACTGGGCAGTGAGGGAAGGCCTCACTGCGGTGTCTTTCCAGCTGAGGCCTGAAGGAGGCAAGGAAGAGAGCCTGGTATGTTGGAGAAATAGTGGCTGGGGTGGAATGAGATCGTTGGAGAAAAGTAGGAATTGAGGGCAGGTGAAGGAGTGCAGGTGGGGTGGAGGAGAAGTGTTTGGGGCCACACCTTGTAGGCCATTATAGGACTTTAGCTTTTATTGTGAGTGAAATAGGAAAATTTGGAACCAAGGAGTGACGTGATGCTGACACGATTCGGTTTTCAAAGGATCTGTTCTCGCTCCCCTTCAAAAGATAAGACTAATCTATTTCAAAGTAATATGTTTTAAGCAACAATGTTTTTAAAGCTATATATCAAGATCTCAGAATATTTCTTTCCCTAAATTAAATGTTTATTCCAATGAGGAACATCATAAAACATACATATTTTCTTTTTGCTGGGTACTCAGGGCTACATATACAAAATTGTTATGCTTCATAAGACTGTAGGGTGTTAAGGAACCTACTTCCTCAGATCTAATTACTGATTATAAAATATCTCAAAACAGGTCTCAGATGTTAGTGGGTACTATACTGCTATATTATATTGTTTTCAATGCACTACTACTATTATTCATATATAAGGCCCCTTTTATTAGAAGTTAGAGTACTTCACTACATATTAATTAATCATGCTATCAAGTTCTAGAGAGAATTTTCAAGTCTTGCTATCTTCACTTAACATCTGGCTGATGCCTGCCCAAGAAGCCACTTCTACATTCAATGCTAAGACCCCAGGAAGAGCAATGATTTGGTAACATATGATGGTCATATCTAGTGTAGCCTTTAATCCAGAGAAGAGAATATGGTGATAGAAAGGTTCCCTCTCCTAAAATATGATGTTTTTTATTTCTTCTAACTATAGGCACTAGGCTCAATTAAGATGGCTTTCAGGAATGTTTTTCAAACACTATTACTTCTTAATGAAATAAGCTACAATTCAGAAGAAAGAAAACGCAGTGCATGGCACAAAGTATAAGTAGCATTTTGTGAAAATTCAGTTTCAATTCTTTATTTGCTAAGTTGAGGGATTAAGATTTTAAAAATATATCTTACTTTGAACGACATACATCCTGTTTCTTGTTCCCTCACAGTCAAAAAAGGTCTAGACTGACAACATAGAGAAAGAGTAGAAATAGGAAATAACTTTATTTTTACATTTTTAATTAAATTTATTGGGGTGACATTGGTTTTGAAATAACATTTTTCAATGTATGCAATATATCCCATTATTAATCCTTATAAGAGCAGTAGTAGCTATTATTACCTTGTTTTACATATTAAAGAGCAGATTAGTAACTTACCCAAGGTCATATACCTAAGAAAAGGCCTGCCCCTTTTTTCCATTGACCTTTAGAGAGAGTAGAAGGGAAGGAGGGAGAGGGCGAGAGAGAGAAACATTGATGTGAGAGAGACACATTGATCAGTTGCCTCCCACACGTGCCCCAACTGGGGCCAGGGATCAAACCTGCAACCCAGGTACATGCCCTTGACTGGGAATCAAACTTGTGACCCTTCAGTGCGAGGGCCGACACTCTAACCACTGAGCCACACCCGCCAGGGTTATGAAGTCAGTTCTCTCAGTCAGTTATCTCCCTGAACTTTGCATTTTCTCTTTTAATTACTACAGCCTATCTCTGTTGATTAGAATTATTTCGTAGAAATTGTAAGAAATCAAGACTCATATTTACCAGATGTTGATAAGGTTTGAAGACTAATTCTGTTCTGAATACCCCAGAGCTTTCAGATATCCCAGTTAGGTTTAGTAATCCTCCTAGGCCTCCTACCAAAAAAAGTTTAGACAGAAATGGACTTAAAGTGGTGTCTAAAGGTATAAATAGATATAATCACTTTTATCTATGAAATATGAAGTAATTTAACCAATAAGTAAATTTTGCTTTCATGAGATTTAATTAAATATAGTCACATCTTAGGGGTGGGACGAGATGGAGGAGGGTGTAGGAGGGATAAATGGTGATGGAGGGAGACTTGACTTGGGGTGGTGAACACACAATACAGTGTATAGACGATGTGTTGTAGACTTGAGCACTTGAAACTTGTATAATTTCTTAACCAGTGTCACCCCAATAAATTCAATTAAAAAAATTTTTTAAATAAGTTTAAATCATACTATCAAAGTCAAAGTAGCACAATCATCATGCACTTAAATCTATACTGTCTAAGGAGAAATCTCTATTCTTGGAGTGTTATAGAGTTGTGTTCAAAGCTAGCAGAAGTGCTATTGCTTCATTTTAAAGACAAATTGTTCTTACTAAAAGTCTTATCAACACCACTTTCCTGTTCCCCTACATCCTTTATGCTGCAATGACAGAAGGAAGGAGGTTCAGGTTTGCAACAAAGACAGAAAAGCAAAACACAACAAACAAAATGAAAAAGACCTGATAGGTTTTGTCCCTGATTATTCTGTGGAAAATGGAAAGTTCTTATTTTTTAAATTCTTTGTTCAATCTAGGGTAAATTTAGTGAGCATAGTTAAAATATGACATTAAATTTCAGAAGGTAATTAATAAATTGTTATTAATTTTGTTATATTTTTGAAGGTGGAAAATGGGAGAAAGAACAGTATCCAAATTTTATAGTAAAGCTCCAACAATGTACACAGGAGCACATGCCCCTGCCTATGGATATCAGTCTCTGGGATGTACAGTAGTTAAGTCTTCCCGATCAGGCACTGGATAAACCAAGGAAAGTGACTTACTGACAGATGCTATCAAGGTTATTTCATTGACTCTTCTTGCTCTGATTCCATGCTTAAAAGCAATCTTCTCATTATATTTTGGCCTTCCATGTAGATATACACGTATAGGATGAAACGTACTTATGTACCTATGTTGAGTACTTGATCATTTTCCTTTCTGTGTGCTTTTAATATTGTATAAGTTCCCTTATAGCTGCAGATTGGATGTGAATCCTTTACCAGTATAAATAACACTATGAGGCTCATAGAATATTAGAATTAGAGGGATCTTCGGGAGAGCCTGAATGCAAAGATGGACAAGGGCAGATATTATTGAGGTAAGTTAAAAATGCCAGTATTTAATACTCTTCCCTTCTGTTCTGGCTAATCCCCAGTGCTCCTATCTCAGTTTGCATGCTACCTCCTCAGAGACCTTCCTAGGCCACCCACCTAGCACCCTCTATGGCATCACTGTATGTTCATCTTCCACTTTTTACTACACATATTTTCTTGTTTATTTGTTGTTGATCTGTCTCCAAGGAGTGTAAACTACTTGAGAGTAGAGACTGTCAAACTTGTTCACTGCTCTAACCCTGTAGGCAGAACTCATAGTTGTAGTAGGTACGCAATAACTATTTCTTAAATAGATGGATGGGTGGGTGGGTGGATAGATGGATGAATAAATGATTTAAAATACATCTTGTGAAAAAAATATCCCAGCATTAAAAATTTATTAATACCACTTGATGTCATATTACTAAGTAAAAGCAATGAAGCAATCTAAGCGATCTTGTATTCTTAACCTTTCTGTTCCATTTTAAATGCTCTACAAAATGCATAATTAAAAATAACAAATTATATCTAAGAAAAAATGTAATGCTGAACTAGATTATTTAAAATAATGTTTTGATTGCAGTTATATAAAAACACATATTTATATTGAAAAATTACATCTATACTTTTTTAGTCTTACTAACCATAAATCATGAAGAAAGTACATTCATAAACAAGGCTGGTCATAATTTTTTAAAAAGAAAACAAGTAAACATATAATACAATAATCCCATAAGAAAACTAACCCAATAGGTTATGAAAAATAAACTAGTATTAGTGTAAAATACTATACAGTATCAAGTTAAGCATTAAAAATTTATTAATACCACTTGATGTCATATTAATATGTGATAATTATTATAATTTATTCAAAACATTATGAACTCATAAAAGCATACTTGTGATACAAACATCACAACATTAGATATAGTGAAGAAAACATTGTTGGACTTATATATATTGAGAAATGCTTTAAACTAGAGGAAAATTATTCTACTGTAAATTAGTAATTAGGATATTACTTCTAAAACATATTGCTTTTCCACTCAAAATCTGACTTTGATGCCTGGAAACAGTCATTAATATGCTATGATTCGCCCAGCC